GAGGTGCCTGGGGTGTCAGATGCCTGGCAGGTCGCAATGTGCCAGAACTCCACTGGCAGTGTCTATATTGAGTCCATGAGTTTCTGTACCTACTACCTAGGAGGCTGATGAAGTGCAGTTCATAGGCCCAGCTCTGAAAAGTGGTTTGTACATTCAAACAAGCACCTAACCTCATCACCAGCTTCCTACAGCTCAAAACACAAAACCTGCCAAGTAGCTCCAGTACCCCCACAAACTGCACACCAGAATCTATCGAAGACAACAAAACCCAACTACCTGTGGGGGCACATTCCTTACCAAAAAAACCACTCTGCCTCATCTCTCAGGCCTGATCCTGAGAAGGAACAAATTACAATGCAGACCACTTTTCAGAGCTGGGCCTATGAACTGCACAAAGCAGATGAGGCTTCTTGTGCTATTTTTGATTGTGGGTATTGGTCCTGCTTCTACTATTATGCCTGCCATAAGCAGCATCCCTCCATCTTTGACCCACAGAACATCCAGCATCTTCTTCCTCAAATTTAGCCCAACTCCTCTGATTAAAATCACAGCTTTGTCAGTGTACCATAAACTAACAGGAATACAAGAGTTAACCTAGTGAATGTCTGGCAATATCTATGTCCTCAAGGACTTTAATCTCTGCTAACCCTGGGTTAGCAATGAACAGAGACTGAGCTAATGCTCTGCTTAGTAATGGGTAAACAGTTTTTCCTTTTACGAGTATGGAGAATTACTAATGGACAGTGGGAACAGAATGAGCCTGTGGCAAATTGGGAACTCCCCAACCAGCCACAGTGCTGGTATCCCCACCTGCCATGCCTTGTTGTAATTAATTATGTTGTTAATTAAGGCAGGAGGCTGCCCATTTCTTGCCCCGATGCCAGGGCTATCTGCAGCTCTGTTCCTCCCCTACACCGCAGCCCAAGCCTTGCAAATGGCAGGTCGCCCACAGTGCCCTGCCACACACCTTCCCCCTTAAAATAGTTCCTGGGGGAGATTTCCCCTGCCAGCAGGCTCCCATCAGAGCCTGTGAAAGCCCTCAAGTGGTGAGCACCCCCAAAAGGTGCTCTGCCACAGAGCCCCTGAAGCAAAGACTACTTTTGAGAGTAAGACTCTGGTAGTATCTTGGGTTGGACTGACTTGAAGGCAGGGGTCTCACATGAAATGTTTTGTGGCACAGTTTGCTAGTGTTAGATTAGAAATCTAGGAAAGGAATTTCCAGGGACTGCACCAAGGGACAGTAAAACCCTAGCACTGGTCTGTCAGCATATTGGGTGTTTTACAGCATGACCAAGAGTTTCAGAAGTTACCAGCACTTTCAGTGCTCTGCTAGTGTTGACACCTGCAAGAGGCTAGATTCTAAAGTGGCAGGTGCACAGCATGCTCCAAATCCTATCCCTGTGTGGTGTCTCCCTCTTTCCCCTCCCAGCAATCAGTCAGTGACAGGGGGGATCCCCCCCATGGCCAATCTCGCCAACTGGGAAGCAGCCTCAGTGCTCGCAGGGGGACACTGGTGCTCCTGCCGCCCCGCCCCCACCCCCGGCACCTAAGAGTGGAGTGTGGCCTGTCAGGGGGTGCACCAGTGCTCTCAGGGAGTGCATGTGTACCCCCGGGCACCGGCTATGCATCACCACTGTATTTCTTTAATTGCATCCCTCAGTCCTGGTTTGAGAGAGATTTCTATCCATTTCTTTGTTCCAGAGTGTTGCATTTCTCACAGCCAGGGAACATGTCCTTTATAGTTAAACTTGTTTCTTCTTCAGTAATACCTATTTGCTCTAAATAAATCTTTTTCCTCATGGTGTTTAATCTCTTAGTATCATATTCCTTACCTTAGCCTATTCACTTTTTATAGTCAATCGAGCTTCAGAAGGAGATTGGACATCTTACGTGGAGACTTGCATTAAGAATGTGCTAGACAAGATGTATAGAGATTTTTACCTCTCCTCCTGTAACATGATTCCTGTGGTTTTTTTATTGGAAGGCATAGTGTATTATGAACATGGTTACTCATCTGTAGTTAATTTTGCCAAAGACAGTTTTTCTAATAAGCTGAGCGTGTCTCTGCATGTGCTGAAGCATAGCTGCTTTTTTTCTTAGTGTGTAAAACATGGGGAGGAAATAACCCCAAATTTACCAGAAATTACATCATATCCTCTGGTCATTCTTGATCAAAGAGC